CACGATGAAGCATCCGACCACGGCATAGCAGACATTCGTTCGGACACACAGGAAGAAGAGGGGGATCGAATACCGGCATGTCCGATAGGTCGCATCCAGCAGACACATTTGTCCCCCATACATGTGTAAAAGCCTCTGTTGCCAGTGTGTCTGGTAGCAGAACAACAGCTTTGTTGAACTGCCGTCCTCCTGAAGTTGGCTCGCCCTGAACTTGATATGGCAGCAGGACTCTGTAGCCCATCTGGTGGTCAATGTCTGTAAATGGATGAAAAGAAAGAGTAAGACATTGTCATCCTGGCTCCTTATGTAGCAAACATAAGAAAACAATATTGCTATATTGGAGCATGATTGAAATACATTTTTCTGCAAGTAAGCAAGGAAGCAAGCAGCAGATTCAAGTAGGTATCATTATGAAAAATATGACAAATGTATTTTTGCAGGGAATGTCTCATTGTGTATATTATTACCTGCAGATTAACCTGGTCGTCTTCAGAATTTCTTGTGTGTTTCTTTCCTTTTGACAAGATGTTTCGGATGTCCTTGTCAGTGGGATGATAACGGCGACGTGTCAGTGGGGGTAGGGGTTGTCCTCGCAGTAGCTCATCCTTTACGAACGTATTGATGTGCCGCCTGAACTCGCTGACCTTGCGTGCACCATCTGAGGCGAGTTTGAGGATGAGCTTCTCTATTTCGGGGTCAACGGGCTCACGCAATTCAGCGGCCTGTGCAGTAATAGAATCAATGACTTACTAATTGAACATAATATTATGTCTATGTTAGGATTTCTTGTAAAATTGCCAATAACATAAAGTTCTGTACATAACAGCAAAAAAGAACATCATATGTTTATATATGTTCATAAGGATTAACAGACCTGACCTACTTATAAGTACATGATAGACTTTTTTTTATAATACTGGCCCAGGAAGAAATGAACTAAACAGAACATAATGCAGTTACCTCTCCAAGAATGGGGTGGTTCTCGTGCTCTGTAATGGATGGAAATCGGGCATGGTATTCCACGATTCCTTCAACTGTTGAAGAGCTGGACTTTAACTCAGCTTTCAGGGCTAATGAAGCCTGCCTCTGCAAGGCCTTGGTGTTCTCTGAAATCTTGTAGAAGAAAATATACCTAGTGAGACAGTGTAAAGTATGACAGGTGCGTTTCCTTTGTCTATGTACCAAGTGAGATGTGAGTTATAGGTGAGACTGTGTACAGGTGAGACAAGTGTGTTTTCTTTGTCTTTGACTACCTGAAAACACACCAAACTCACTTGTAAGGTACCTAACCTGTTCCCTTGTTGAAGGAAACACATCTAACTCACCTAACGTGGTCCCTCACCTAAGGAAACACAGCCTACTGAATTTGCTTTTTATCTCCCATGCTAATGTTATAAGGTCATCTGGAAGTTCCCAGAGGGGAAATGAGGAGGAGGAGCAGGGGTGTAAAAATGAGCTCAGAGCCAATGACAGGAGACAGGATAACTCCCAGCTAACCAAGTAGTAGAGTAGTTGGAGTGTTGTACCTTGAAACCAGGAAATTTGATGACCTGTGTTGCAGTCAACTTGGCAGGGCAATTCAACTTCTTTGTATGCTGTATCAGCCTCCTGCTTGGTGTGAAGTTATGGTCTTGACGCTATTGAATAGTATAAATCTGTTAGCATATCTTTGGAGTTTGAAGATGACATATAGCAGTCTGCTATGAACTGTACAAATGCAGTCTAATTTGTATAGTTGTTACCATGGAAATTACCATTGACATGATCAAGACAGTCTTGTTATCCTCATCTCCTTGGCCAGTTATGCAAATTACAGTTGTGCAGTATATCTCACAGGAATTTTGTGCCCAGTCATTGGATCAATAATGTTACCTCCTATGAACCAAAGATTTTATTTTGATTTTAACTCTTAGTTTAATTTAGTCAAAGACAATGGAAATATGTAAATACTAGTATACCGCTTTTGCCTCTTTCTGTGCCTTGTATTTCTCCTTCTGTTTGAGCGCTTTGTCCTTTCCTTGGTGACATGCGTAGACAATCCTCCCCACAAGCTGAAATGGTACACCATCATAGTCTACATCTGTCAGGCTCCAGTAGGTCTGTCTTTCTGGTGAAGGTTGGACATCTGGATAATTGGATGATACACAATTCATCTAGTGATAAAAATGTATTGCTAACAATCAAGTCCAGGTAATGCTATACATGATTTTCATCCTGATGTTATTTTATGTGCAGGATCAAGAAGACATTCATCAAAGAAGTGGAAGTATGGTAATACAGTTTTTTGGTAAGTTTCTACATATTACTCCATTTATATTTATAAGTTCATTTTCCATGGCTGGGGACAAGGTTGGGTTTCTTACAGGTGATTTTTAAAAGTTCATTTTCCATTGCTAGTGACCAGGTGTGGTACCTTACAGGTGATTTAAGTTCATTTTCCATGCCTTGGGACCTACCCCAAGTACACTCATCTGTCACACCTGTAAGGCCTGTTATCTAGTCTCTACTCCAAGAACACTCATCTGTCACACCTGTAAGGCCTCTTATCTAGTCTCTACTCCAAGTACACTCATCTGTCACACCTGTAAGGCCTCTTATCTAGTCTCTACTCCAAGTACACTCATCTGTCACACCTGTAAGGCCTGTTATCTAGTCTCTACTCCAAGTACACTCATCTGTCACACCTGTAAGGCCTGTTATCTAGTCTCTACTCCAAGTACACTCATCTGTCACACCTGTAAGGCCTGTTATCTAGTCTCTACTCCAAGAACACTCACCTGTCACACCTGTAAGGTAAATTATCTAGTTCCTGGTCTAAACGCCTGGCTCCCAGCCACGAGAAATGAACTTACTCACCTATAAGGTACCCCACGTGGTCCCCAGCCATGGAAAATGAACTTAACTTACCTGTAATGTACCACACCAGTTCCCCGCCCATGGAAATGAAATTTTGAGCATTTATTAATGTCTTTCAACCAAATATTGGTCAGATTTGTCAATTTATTCATCTTTTCGAGAAAAAAGGTACAGGCATTTTTTACAAGTGATTTTCCAAAATTAATAAACGTACCATCCCAAAATAAGAACGTCACTGGGTGGATGTTCAGGCCAAAGAAATCATACTTTATTTTAGAGGTGAGAGTACCACGGGCCGCTTTATATTTGTCTTATAATTATTTTCTATTATTCTCATATGTCTTTGGCTCATTTTCGCTTGTTTCTGCTTATCTTCGCTTGTTTCCGCTTATTTTCAAATCTTCTGGAGATTCCTTTGTTTTATTTCATTCTTTTGAAAACATAACTTCCCAGTCTGTATGACTCCATATGATTTTGATATGGTATTTTTTATACATTTAAAAATTAGTTTTCATACATTTCAGGTGGCAGTGCCAGCACAGATCCCCGAGGAAAACCTACATTAGTAACTGCCTGCAGCTCAACTACCAAATAACTAATATGTTCAGTTGCCCCAGCTTGTCTTCAACTTTTTGTAATCTTTGTGTAGATTTGAACTTCAGGCTAAGTAACTCACAACTGTGCATAGCAATTAGTATATGTCTCATGCTTGTTGACAACAAATATTAACGAGTGAGATCTACAGGTAGTCCATGTAAAATATATACTTATAATAGTACTTTCTGGTACATGTATGCTTATATAATGAGTGAAAAGGATTCACCCAAGGAGGAAGTTAGCTGTAATGTAACCATGGAGGTAAAAGATGATGTAACAAAGGTTGCTAGGCGTACATACTGTTAAAGCCACCAGGTCCTGATCATCATATTATTATAGAATGGTAATGTAATTTTGAATTTTTTTTTGTTGCAAACTTTAGTTCCATGGAAAAGAAATTTATATGGAACATGACAACATTTTCTCATCAACTTACTGTTAGATGTTTTATGACATTAGAAAATCATTTGTGAAATGGCAATGTAACCGCATTCTGCATGTATGCCAAGCCAAGTGTATGTACATGTATGATGTACAAATGTACTATCATTTATTCAATTGCAAAGTTTAAAAAGAATTACATACATCACAATGGATCTTATGATGTTGAATTTTTTAATGAGAAACATTATTCTAAGATACAATACATGGGTAAGCCTTGATGTTATACATTCCTAGGGCTGTGGTTGGGTGGTTTGTTAAAATGTGTTATCTATAGTAACGTTATATATAGTAAAGTCTTATTTATCTGAAACAGTAGTGGGGTTCAAATTTGTTTCACATCTTCCAACACTCATTTTTTGGCAATCCTTATGCTGCCACCAAATGTATTTCTATTAAAGTTTGCAGAAATGCAGTATTACAGCTTCTTTTGTCATTGTATTTTCATAACACATGTGCGTACTTAATAACCTGGTGAAAACTATCTAAAATAGAGGTTTTCGGTGCTCTTGGTTCTTACTGATGGGACGACATCTGGTATTAATTAATAAGACACCACGTAGAGTGACACCGCATACTGCTTGGTCCCAAAGAAAATAGACAATTCTCCGTCAATGACCTACATTTACAGCTCAAAACATCACATTTATGGTTTTTCAGGCACGTACTCGTTACTTTTACCCAGTCAAACGTCTGTACATTAAGCATCAACAGTGCGCATTTCGCGCGAAAACTTGTCAGAAACACGATGAATGAAAAACTTACCCTTTCCCCCGAAAAACTTATCCTTTTTGCTCTGGACATACTTGACCATTGTGGATTTCTCGATAGTGGCAAGATTATCCTCGAAATCTTTAAGGGAAAGAAAGATTTCTTTACTTTGGGCCAGCTGCGCCCCCTTCGTCACGGCAGAAGTTGCCGGTTCCGCCATGGCGTCGTTCCCAAAGCACCATGCGCTACCCCGGGAACGAGTGGAACACGTCACCGGTCAGAGGTCACGGGGTATTTAAACCAGATACGGATCCATTCTAGTCTTCACCTACCTAGGTCTAGCTCCGTCATCCCCCGCGCATGCCTTCCCGCGCGGTTGATTTCGACAACAAAAAACATGTCAACAATGAAATTAGCATATATTCTACCATTTTAGAGCAATTTAGTCACTAAATCAATCATCTTCACTAAGACAATCTTTAAGTATGTGCTTTAGGTGAACGGGGAGAGGTGAACAAGTAGAATCGATGTTTTGTTTTCGCGAAAAAACGATGAAATTTGCAGGTATGAAGCGTGGATCTGGTTACATGACGGTGGGGAAACCCCGACCGTAGCGTGGGTTGAGGCAGGCGGGGGGGAGACACGCCGGACTCAGCGGGACTTGGCGTGGGAAGACGCCGGGATTTGTGGCTTACCGCAGGCACGCTCAGGTATGTTTTGTGTACAGAATTATTCAGCTATCTGACAGGCGGTTTCCTGTGTTTTGAAACGGCAAGTTGTGGTTGCGAGATCATAACAAAAGGTCACATAGTTTATAAACATGGTCGCACTCGCTTACTTTGTTTTACCATGGAGGTAGAGGTATCATGGTCTTTCCCACACTGAAGCCCGACTCTAACTGGTCTAAGCTAAGTGAAATGTAGCGTTATAATATTTGATTCTTCCTGATTTGATTCTTCCTTCTTACTAACGTTCAAACGAAGTCTCGTCGAAATTATGTTGTACATAATTTATTAATGGCAGCCTTTGTTGGTGGAGTTTTTTTGTCTACCATGTAGGTCTGTACTACTACTATATCTGCTCAGTATGACCACAACCACTATCAGCCACTCGGTTTCGTGAATGACAGGTTGATCAAAATACTCGCAGTAAAAAGACCCCCTCCATCCCCCAAATGAGCCCAGCCAATATTATTGTTCCAGGACTGCTATATATATATAGTACTACTAGTAGTATATAAGTTATAACTGTATAGAGGCTTGTAAATTAGATCTAAAACAATGTACATGAATTAATGGTTAACTAACTGAAGTAACAAAGAATTGATAAGGTTTATTTATTCATTATTCATGGAATCCTGATATATTATAAAAAAACAACAACTGTACAGTGCTACAGAGACACTGATATCATATTTTTCTCATGAAGACTTTAAAAGTTTGGTGTATTGCTATCGGATGTAATGTTACATGCAATGATGCTTGTCATTTGTTATCTGTTCTTATTACTGTAATACTCCCTAATGTCGCTGGCTACCACGACATAATTTAGGGATCTGGCGGAAGCTATGGAGGATGGCAGCCAGGCTAGAATATAACTCCTATACACTCTGAGAAATAATTATTTACAAGTAGATGATTTGTGGTTAGGTAGACTGTCAGCTGAGCAGCATGTATGTATCCCATTTAAAGGAGTCTGTATTGATTACCCCTGCTACAGATTATAAGCATATAATAAACCAGCTGGGCACTTTCATTTCAATTAGCCCCAGACTTAATAACCTGTAAATGATCAGAAGCCATTTTTTATCAACTACAAATTTACTTTACTACATAAAATACATGGACCATCCTAGAAGTTGTAGATCCGGAAAAGCCTTCCATCATTAACTGATAGACCAAATGGCCGTTGTATTATAAGTTGATAACGTAATTTGTTTCCTTTGCAATCACACAATGTTAATGCATGTATCAAAATTCTAGATGAAACCCTACATGGAATATTGGCTGTTGTAATTTCATGATTCAAATTCAATCATAATCTATACTAAGTACTTGAACAAAAAAAAACATCACAACAATGTAACTTTTGCTTTTGCCCCACAGATGGGATGCTATTGTCAGAGGTATATGTATTGACTATTGTTCATTTTTCACACCTGGCTTCATGATAACAATCTTTATTTGATATAATAGTGAAACTGCAGCAGGTGCAACTGGGACATGTCTGGGCATGTTTGTTGTTTTCTTTCTTTGTCCCAGCCTGCCTGAACTTGAGAGCCCTGACAAGGGTGTAAGGTTTCACAGCAGGGAGCTAGAATTTTCGATGAAGGTTGGACATCCAGGTAGTGAGATACCCCCAAAAACAGTTAGTCAAGCAACTGCATAGAATTTGAAAACTATCAATGCAACTGTATCATCCTTGCAAAACATAGTGGATGCAACTTGAAACGTCTGACTTGTAGTACAAGTTGTACTGTTTTCAAATTCTATTCAGTTTCTTGCAATGAGTACTAGTAACTGTTTTCTGTGTAAATACCTGATATTTAATCCCACTTTACACTGATTGCCAATGGCACAGAGGTGTGAAAATGAAAGTGTTGTGTTAACACTTCACAGATCTGTCACTGTGTGTCAATGGTTAACGAGGTTGGCTTTCAGATAAGTTTGAAGGTTGACTCGGTTGCTCAGTAACAGGGCATGATGATAATGAAATGAAACTTTATTGCATGTTCATTCCCCGGGGGGATAAATGCACAGATGTACAGAGTACAATGTACTAGAGAGTACTACAACAATAGTGATATAAAAAGGCTAACATCGGGTCTAAGGTATACAATGCTAAAAAAGAAATATAAATATATATTTAAGTGATACAGATCTAAGGTCTAATGGCTTCTTCTCTCTTTTTGAAACATTTTGAAATATACTTACATACTTCATTGATGACGTCTATATTCGTACATGACATGATATATTTAAAAGTGTCTTCCTTTGATAATGTTTTACATTTTTTGTCGAACTTAATTGAACTGAACAGTGATTTACGTTCGTTATCATATAATATACAGTCAAGCATAAAATGCGATTCATCTTCAATACAAGAATTATTACAGAATTTACATAGTCTATCTTGTAACAGTGTACGGCTATGCCTGCCAGATTCTATGTGTAGAGGGTGGTCGCTAATACGGAGTTTACACATAGCTCTGCGTTTTCAAAATTTGGAATGTCTAAATATGATGACATGTAGATGATAAAACAAAGACTCACTAGTGTGTAGATGTGTGTCATACAAAAGAAATAAGCCTCCACCAGGCTAGCCTCTTAGCTATATATAGACAGACTTCTAAGCTCTACCAGGACAATTTGTTTGTTTATACTATAGAAACAGCTAAGATCATCAGTGGCTTCTTTTTGGGAGACCGCGTACTAGATGGTCGGACGTCAAGAAAGAAAAGTGTCACTCTAGCCCCTTGTAGAATTAGAAGAAAATGCTGCCGTACTAGAGTCTGTGCAGGAGTCCAAATAACCAACAGGTACTAAGTACTTACTAGTAGTTGAGGATGGAGAATAAATGGACCTTCCTCAATTTGGAATATTCGTTTTTATGCTAGTACTAAGACATAAACCAGGTTTAGATTTAAAAAAGACGACCATGCTAAATACCTCATTCTCTTCAAGAATTCTTTTTGTCTTGCTTTAGAAAAATAATTTTGATATTGCCAGTTGCAATACTGTTATAAGAAGTTCTACCTCTATATATGCGCTAACTGAGTGTTTTGTATTCCAGGTGATGTAAATGCAAGCAGTACAAGCCTTCCCCCCGGCAGATAAGATCCTGTTGCAGGCCAGTGTTGGGAACCGGTCTCATGTGGAACTCCGCGGTCTGTACCTCACCTCTCTCCCGTGGAAAATCCTCCAACCTCCGCTGTGCACGTCCGTTACTTACCTGGACATCAGCTATAACCGGCTGTCTGTCTTACCGCACACCGTTGGAGTTTTAAACAACCTCCAGTATCTGTACGCACACGATAATGTGCTCCATTCCGTCCCTGCAGAAATCTCCTGTCTGCCGCACCTCAGGGTGTTGGACTTTTCACGAAATCGCATCCTCGAAATTCCAACCACCCTAGCTCAGGCTAAGAGCCTTGAAGCGGTCAACTTTTCAGGGAATCGAATCAGCATACTCAGTCCCGAAATTCTGTGCATTCCGACGTTAAGGCAGCTCCATGTGATCAGGAATCCCGTTCAGAACGTTCCGTGGGACGTTGTCCGAGCTGGCTTGGACGCGCTGCGGAAGTTTTTCGACATAGATGTACCAAAGATTTGCTCTCCACAGAAATCTGAACCAAGAAGACTCTCACTTGCTGAACAGCTAAATTCTGTCACTCTAAAACCTTGCAGTGTTGGGGAGAAAGAGTTGGAAACATCGAATGTGGCGGAAGTGTCAGACAAAGAAGACCAAGCCAGCGAAACATTTTCCACTTACTCCAAGTGTAGCGCTGTAGGCTGTATGGTCAACTGTGGTAGAAACGGTCGGGACAGATGCTGGTCATCTAGTGATCGAGGCTACTACTCTTCATCCAACTTTGACATCAATTCTCTCTCCTACGGCTTTGCCGCCATCGACCTGACCAATGAGGACCAGCTAAGTTGCCATGGCGACTACGACAGCGAGGGTGAAACGGACAGAGACAGTAATTTTGACGACACTGACGAGAAGTGTAGCTGTTACCATGGTGATGACGTAGGTTCGGACTCTGATGACGACTTGTTTCAGGCCAGGAGAAAGCGACTTCCTGACAGAACCCTTCTCTTGACATACAAGCAAGTGTCGGTCGTTATCCCCGAGCACAACCGCAGCGGACACATCCAGGCGGAATTCTTCCTCGACATTCTGGAAGACGTCCGGTACCTCCCAGCTGAGGTAAAATCCGTGAGTCGTACGTCCCAATGTTCGGTCCACGCCAGCAGTGTTGTCTGCATGGAACCACACGGCGCTCAGTTCTACCCAGATGAACCTGCCCTGATCACCGTGCCGCTACACGCAGACCCCAGTCCCTGCGACAAGGTGGTGTGTTTGAGCAGTCAGACTTCGGAAGGACAAAAGCCGACATGGGAGCGGATTCCAGAAACTCAGTGGAGTTACAGCGACGGAAAAGTCACTATAAGAACAACACACTTCAGTTTGTTCACAGTAATCATACGGAGGGTGTATCCTGAGACAAAAATGGTTGTGTCAGCAGGAGGGGGTACTATGAAACTGGAGGGGGTGCCTGGAGCAGAGGTACATTTTCCCAAGGGTTCCGTTCACACTACAATGGAGGCCAGTATGAAGGTGCTGTACGCAGACCCCCCTTATGGACAAGATGAAGTAAACAGCCCCCCTTGTGCCATTGCTACCCCTGTGGTAACACTGGGTCCACACGGATACCAGTTTGCTACAGAGACAGACCCTGTAGTAGTCAAACTTCCCATCCCAGATTACAGCCAGATTTTGGACAGGTTCGGTCACGACATCGCACTAACCGTCTGGCACAGTCCGACCAATGAGGAAGAGCCTCTCGCTTGGGAGAAGTTAGAGGTTGATCACCGTATCGAAGAGGAGGGTGGAAACCACATGGTCTGTTTCCCCGTGACGCACTTTTCCTGGTACCGCGTGCTCTGGGACATACTAGCGACGAAGATGCACGCGGCGAAGATGGGCGTGTCATACTTCTATCCCTACACACAGTTCAGTATGATGTGTCAGGCCCTGATGCAGGAGTTTCAGACACACACGTTCGGGTTAGAGGTCATCTGTTACAGGAGTGGGAAGCCGCTACCTGAGATCGGAAACTACCAACACAGGGTGGGGGGCAGCATCAAACCACGACTCATGAAACTGGGTAGGTTGTAAAATTATTTGTAATACTATGTTGTTCTTCTTGGCTTGGCTTCGTTTTGTCTAAAAATTTGTTGTCTAAAAACAGTTACGCACTGTATTGAAAAGGTTTCATGTGTTAGATTGGGAAAATTGTCAATGATTTGCTTGACAATATATGTGACAAATTTACATACCTTTGGCCACACCAATTTAATTTGTTAATATGAAGCAATATGGTAATTGATAAGAAAAGGCCTAATAGGCATCCTTGGCATCCTATGCTATGCTAAGGGCAATAAACTCAAAATACCACATGAACAGACTCGTTTGAAATTTAGACATTGCATTTTGAACATTTTTATTAATAGGTAAAAGAGGACTTTCTTCAACTGTTGGGGCCAAAATTTGAGGACCAGGTTGATTAATAGAATCAGAAATTTTTTAGATGTGAATCATAAAGAAATTTAAGGAATGAGTCAAATTGATTGAATTAATTGCTTAAAGGGGATTAGGTGTTTATTTTGCTCAGGTACAAGTACATCAGATATCTAGACCTGTGCTGATAATTTTAGTACAGTACAGTACAGTACAGGTACATGGTTAGGTCCTGCTCTTACAGATAAATGACTTGATATTGTCCGACCCATTTCAGGTGCGATCACCGTCAGGCTGGTTTCAGAAGTGTTTGAAGCTGATACAGATGCGGGAGAAGATGACTCTCTGGCCCAGACCGAGGCTGACTTCCGCGGACAGGAGTTCGACAAGTCCTTCGCTTGTCGCTTCAAGGACCGACCAATAGAGAGAGGGGTTTTTGGGAAGGTGTTTGTTGAGAGGAGGGTCCAGGAGGGGGTTTCTGAGCAGGTTTTCCACTTCAACTTGACAAAGGTAAGTCTTTTGATTTGAAAAAAAGTTCGAGCTTACATGACTTTGTATATTCATTTGGCAGATCATCAGTGATTGATTACCTGTATTACATCTACTCTCATCTGCCGAATAAACATACGGGTACGTTTATTTTTTTTTGGCCCAAACATCCACCCAGTACGTTCTTATTTTGCACAGTACGTTTATTAGTTTTTTGAAAACCAGTAATTTTTTTCAACTTCGTGTGAAAAAAATTGACAAATCATCGACGTGAAGACGTTTATAAACGCATATTGTAGCGAGAAACTTGTCATTTTCGGGCCGGTTTTTGCAATCACCGCGTGCATAAATTCGTCTGAATGTTCTATTGTCATGGGTGGTGCTTATCAAAATACAAAATATCAAATGCTCTTTTTTTTGTCTATTTAAATTCCTAATTGCAAATAACAGTTAAAGATTTGTGCATATATCAGTAAGGGTGCATTTTAGTACAAGAGACACAGGTTACCCGTCAATTTTGGTAATTTGTCCGGGGGGTACGTTTATTCCGGGGGGTATGTTTATTCGGCAGATGAGAGTAAATGCAAATTTAAAGGTAAAAATCCTTTTTCTTGCCACACTTTTTCTTGAATTACTATACTTTAATTTGTCTACTGCTAATAAAATAACGTGTACTCCAATTTTACATATTTTAAGTTTTGGGATTTTTTGATTTACAAAATGTAAGTACATTGTGGTTCTTGCATGCTTTAATTTTTGTTTGTTTGCTTGAACATGATTTAAGATTAAGAATTCAATATGCTTTGACCTCACCATAAACCTTAACTAGAAGCCAGTAAAAAGCAGTTTTCAAGCAGATGTTTAGGCTTCAACTTACTTTTGATGTGTTTAAGGCATTTTTTTGTTCAATAGCAGCCACCAAAAGATCTAGATCTGCATGGAGATTGAGGAAAAAGCACTTGATTCCTGTTGAAAGTAAAAGAACATGCAAGCAGAATGCACTGCTCCTGCGCAAAAACTGGATTTTTTTTTTTTTGTTAGATTACATTGTGTGGTCAACGTTGCATCAGAATTTTGCCCGTTGCAGACAATGTATTAAATTTCTGACACATTTGACATATATAGATGGCATGTCATATGCAAATACGAGACGTTCTGTCGAAGTGTTTTGCGTAATACATGGTTTATGTGTTTTGCTTGAAGGCACAATAAGGCCACACCAATTTAATTTGTTGGTTCTTGGATTCGCCTCTTCGTTTTTTTCTGATTTCCAAAAGGAAAAAAATTTGATTCTGATCCTGAATCAACTGAAAAATGCTCATGTTTTGCCCCCCCCAATAGTTGAGGACATTCCTTTTCTTCCTGGTTGTTACAGTTTTCCCATCTATCATTGCAGTGGTTTGATTAAAAGTTCAAAATTCATTGTTTAAATTTTAACCCAGCCTTTTGTGTTGACTTCATGGCTCATTTTGTAGCATTTAAGTCTATAATAGGATGCCTAGACCTGTTTTATTTTTATTTTTTTCGCCCTGTCGCTTCATATTTTTTCTGAAAAAATCCGAGAACCAACAAATTAAATTGGTGTGGCCTAAATTCTGCCAACGTGATTTAGGACAGAAAAAGGCTGACCACTCCCTTTGTTTCAGAGTGGGAAGGAGGTTGACCTTTCACCCCAGATGGACGAGGAGTGGCAGGTGGTTGCTCTCAGGGAACTCGCAGGTCAGCAAGGCATTCTGGGATTAGGCAGTTTTACTGGTACAATTTCAAAAGTGTGGACTGTGGAGTCACCCAAGGGAGTTTTTATTGCAAAGAAAAGGAAAAAGCCAAAAGAAAATTGACTTATTATGCAAGTCATACCACAAAGAAAGACCTACATGTATTTTGTCGTATATCTTCAATTTGAGGAAACATATCTATAATGAAACAAAGGTCACTTTGAAGATTTTGAGACTTTTACTGCCCCTGATTGTTCACCAAAATGCCAACTCTGTAGTAGACATACCCTTTGGTGTTGAATTACATTATGTTACAAGTTGCAGGACAGATTAAGAGTTGGAGAGGCTGGTTATCATAGAATTTGTTTGAGTAAGAAGAAGGGAGATCAGTAGTTTGTTAAGATGTTAACTAGGTAAAGATCATGCATTTAATGCTTTGCAAACGTTACCTTTCTACATGTAGTTTTGTGTAATTGTTATAAAGTTAAAAACCAATCACTAATAAATGATAATCAGGGCTCGAAATTCATTTTTGGGAATACTTAGTAGGCGCACTGGTGCACCCAACCTAAAAAAATTAGATGTACCATATCAAACAAAACCTACTTGCAGGTCTTACTGCTCCTCTTCTGAGCTTGAATCTAAAATGAGAGCTAACTTTAAAATCCTAAACAAGTATTACAACAAAGATTTTGTTATTTTTCTGATACTTATACCCCCGTCACATTGTCGACGAGCTTCGGCCGTATTTGTCAATCGCCGAAAGATCGGCCGATTTTGAGATCGACCGACGATCGCGCGTATTTTTGGCTTGAAAATCGTCGCGGTCACATTGTGCGAGGCTCGGGCGATTGCTTGGGAATACATCTATGATAATGAAGTCCCTATGACATGGCAAGCAGATGAAGCAAGGCCAGTGTATCCACCTAAAAATGAATAGTTTGGACAATCTTTATGTTTGACCTGTCGTAATATTTTTTTAACAAAGTAATGGAGCGGACTGGCAGAATGAAATAGAAATAGAAACAGGAATTCTGTGAAAGATCCAACTCAAATACTACCACAAGAGCCACAAATGTACACTACCGTCTGGTTAACACAACGACCACATTTTTAACCAGACAGGAGTCGGCCGAAGCTCGCTAGACACACGGGCGTACGTTGCCCGAGTTACGGTCGACGATCTATCGATGCTGGCACGATTTCTACACCATTCAACCAAAACGTACAACAAGACATAATGATTATCATTGTATCAAAATTTTTTATACACGTGTACCTGAACAAAGCTAACAATATATATTGTTCTAAAACTTTGCCTGTATAGTATACTTGTGTCTAAAATAGTATGAATCTTCCGGTAAACAAGATTATTAGTCATTCAATGTCAACAAAGTAGACAGAGGTAAAAAGACCCATGCAATATAAACTTCAACTAGTAAGTAATATCGATATCTATCACATGAAGGCACCCTAAGGAAAAAAAAGTCAACCTCATTCCAGAATGAACAAGTGTAAACGTTAATTTATAATACAATCATCTGAAATAAGGGCCGGCACACACCTCCTAAAAGGACAAGAGTAAAGGATTTCATGTGCGTTCAATCAGTTGAGGTAAAAATCTAGGCATTTGGCCTTATATAGTTAAAACCTCGTCATCTTTTTAAAGTGCTTTTGTTCATTAACGAATGTTGATGTAACAAAAGGACAAAGGACGATTTTGTCTATTTTTATACTTTCTCGTAAACATAACGTTAACAATCAGTGGGACGTTGCTCCTGCAAACTTTACACAGTATACTGTCAATGCAATCTCAAAGAAATGTCACAGGTGCTGAATAAATAATAACTTCACAGGAGCTCGGCCGAGGCTCGTAGAACCTTCGTCCGACACTGGCACGAAGCTCGCTCGAAGCACGCACGATTTTAAAAAACTTTGCGCAAGTCGGGCGAGGTACGGAAGAGGGTCGCCCGAATATTTCGCGAAGCTCGCGCGATGGTCGACCGTATTCAGCGACCGTCGCCCGATTTTCAAAGACGAAATACGGCCGAGACTTGTGGGATGTACGTCCGAATATCGGTCGACTCTCGGCCGCACAGGGACGAGCTACGGGCGAGCTACGCGCGAGCTGGAAACGAGCTCTGCGACCTCAAAAATCGCCGGCGACTAGTCGCTGATGTTAAGAACACGTTTCGCGTGCCAGCGAGCTTCGGCCGACTCCAAAAAATCGCCGGCGATCCCGAAAATTCGCGCGATGCTCGACGGAACATCGGGCGTACTACGGCCGTAAATGTCGTTTTGAGCTCGCCAACTAGTCGGCCGATCGATTTACGCGCAATGTGACGGGGGTATTAGAGACCAAGAATATCTGTTATACTATTATACATTTCTTATGTTTAAGATTCCTACAAAAATATTTGGGTGCACCATTGCACCCACAGAAAAAAATTAGGCGCATAATTTTTGATGCACTAAGGTGCACATGCACCCAGTATTTCCAGCCCTGACAATTATTTATTACGCTTGTGGTTCCAGCTATGCTCAGCATCACATCAGAAGAGAACTGGAGACAGTTTGCTGCAGAGCTGGGTTTCACCAGACGAGAGGTCAGCAGGTTTGGGCTGGCGGACGACCCTTTCACGTTACTGCTGACCCTGTACCAGGAGCGCGGCGGGACCGCCGAGGAGTTTATCCACGGTCTGTACGAGGTCAGCAGGAAGGTCCGCATGGGGGTGGTCAGTCAGGGCGGAGGGGAGGAGGTGGAAAGTGGTGAGTAGGACTTTGAGAACAAGAAACAGTCGCCTTGAAATATCAGACGTATCTACCGATAATTGAGATAACACTGGTCACCTCAATTTTGGAATGTCACTTTCCGAATTTTGAGACACCTATGTTGAAACCCCTAATTTTCAACTTTGCTATTCCTGGATGTACAGTGAACTTTTGCATGCCATTGGAAAGATCATGCTATCTTCATTACCAGGTTGCTTTTTTTATGGTCAGAATGTACAAATTTATCAAGATATTTGACTTTAAAAATTGCAAGCCTGGCGGTCTAGAACACACACCGTCATGCCCAGCAGCTTAGCCTTGCAGTCCTAAACTTTAGCCCGCGGCCTGAGTTAGCCAGCCCGCATCCAGACCGCATCCAATTAGCCTCATGAACACCCCATGAAAACCACTGAATTAATGAGAATTCACATTTTCACACCTGTGTAATTAACAAGTTTGTGATAAATTCATGAGAGGTCTGGGCTCAATGGTTAGCCCGCGGGCCTGAACAGGCCTGTCGGTCTGTGGACAGGCTGGGCTGATGATTAGGCCTTATGATAGAGAACCTTCAGACTTTAAACACCAAACAGAAAGTGGGAAACAAAAATATGCTTCCAAATTGATGCTTCCAGATTGATGATGGTTTACACTTCACTTCATATCACTTCATATTAATAAACACCCTTCACATTTTCAGCTAATATTTTCAATAAGTGATTACATATTATTGACAAGTATGATGTACAGGTATGAATGATGATAACTTTCATGAATATTCATTTTGAACATTTTCTGCAAAAGCTTCAGAAATTTCTACTGGAAGAATTTCTCCTGTACATGGGAAGAATTGTTCTGCTATTAAGACTGCAAAAAGTCTCTTTCTAGTAGAAAGCTTTTTGAACATGTTTGAGGAGGTGGATTTTGCTCCTGCTGTGCTACCTGGGCTGATACCTCCATTTGCAACATGAACTTGCTTTCAGTGCAAGGAGTTGTACAATGCTTTAGGAAATTCATGTTACATTTTCTTTTGTTTTTTGTCATGCGGGTCATACCTCAGGTCACCTATTGTTCCAGGCATGCAAATGACCACTGTCCAATTATCAAATTAGAGAGTCTGGTCGGGCTACCCTGACATGGGTGCACTGGCACTGGCTCAATAGCCCGAAAAAATATCCTATCAGAAAATCTCATGACATTGTAATGACAGTGTCAGATGGCCTGGGTTCACACGCTGAGAACCATGTCTTGGCCAAATCTTTCTATCCCACAACTAGTTTGTAGTGTCATGATTAGATTAGATTTAGATTATGAACAAAAAATTAATGATGAGAATCTTTACAGGATTTGTAATAAGTAGTGATGCATACCTAAACCCAATTTCAGGTTCAGGTCCGGATTCAAGTCCATACAAAATTGCATGTTGGCAACCTTGCAATGTTGTCTGGGTGAAACTTTGGCCACATAACATGGAGGCTGGTAATTGACGATGCCCGATGTCAATGTTTTCTTCATTTTGCAGCAAACATTTTGGAATCTACGGAAGGTTTTAGGTGGTTTGGAAAGAAAAGGGGTATGTGAAATGGTCTTTTATGGTAATAAGTCCGGACTCGGTTCTTGACTTTTAGTTTTTTTTGGACTTGAACCTAAACATTTTTACAAGTCCGGATCCAAGTCCAGTGAACCGGTATGCACCACTAGTAATAAGTCTAAATTACAATTTAATTGGAAGTGCTTGCCCAAGGCCTAGAGTCAATTCTATATTGCTATATTCCACATTACAAATTGTAACCATTTCGAAAAAAAACACAATGTTTCTACTAATTTCAAAGTATGATTTAAAAAAAGTAGAAAATTTTCTAATTGTTACAATATTTGTGAAACATATATAATGAAAAGAGCTGTTCATTCAGTTTGGATATTTCCCAAAAATTTAGGAACAGAACGTAAAATGCTTGTACAGCGCAGGATGTACATGTATGATAGCAGACCAGGTAGCCTGGGTGTAAGAAACAGGGGCGAGCTGTAGCGCCTATAACCCCCCCACTGTTACATGGGTACCAGACTGCTGCCAGGCTAGCTCCTTGGCTCTTGGAGGGCCAACATTTGCTCAAGGAAATGTCACCATAGAGTGATAATAGACATCCCTCAATAAGCCTATGAATTACATTGTAAAGGCTTGTTATCCCCTAGACACAAAGAACACAGTTTCTTTAAAAATGGGTGACAAAAGGGGAGGGGAGGTGATTATGATAAAATTAACAAGTTCTAACTTCCAAGCAACAACTTGAAGTTAGTCTCCAGTCAGAATCTGATCAATCATGTTAGACGTGTTTACAACTGGAGAAAGGGGATGCTTTTGCTTCCGAAGCAAAAGCATTCATTGAGTTATCAGACTGCATGAATTGTCATGACATACAAAAAATCAGATGATCATTGATCAATTACTAAGGTGACCTTGAGAGAATATTGATGTAATGTTGTAATTTTATAGAACAGGATTCTTCTTCAAGTGAATGAGTCTGAGAAACAAGTAATGACATGATTATATTTAGTCTCTATGGCCGGCCAACTCCTTTGGCCAATGATGTTCCCCTTAGCCATGGAGCTACCTCCATGCCTTAGCCGATTGCTACTATTTATTTAGCCTGCAAAGGAGTCTGGTGGAGACTACATTACATGTATATTGGTGTGGCCTAACAGTTGTATATATTTATTATGCAGTCATTCCTGCCGAAATTTCTAGGAAGGATTCTATCTGCAGGAATCTACAATGTCTTAGTAGGTTTTTCCTTCAGAAATTTCCTGCAGGAAGAAAATTTTCAAAATTAATTTCCATGTATGTTATCATTCATACCTGTCCAATTATCAAATTAGAGAGTCTGGTCGGGCTACTAGTACCCAGACATGGGTGACATGGTCTTTGCAGCTTGCACTGGGTAGCTCAATAGCCCGAAAAAATATCCAATCAGAAAACCTTATGACATTGTATATAATGACAGTGTCAGATGGCCTGGGTTCACACGTTGAGAACCATGTCTTGGCCAAATCTTTCTATCCCTCAACTAGTTTGTAGTATTATGATTAGATTAGATTTAGATTATGAACAAGAAATTAATGATGAGAATCCTAGTTTTATTTTTTAAGATAGTCGGTCATCTTTTCAGGCTCCTACTGGGTGACCCAGTACAAGCTGCCCAGATAGGGGTACTGTAATTCGACGTGTAACTCAACAACAGTCCAACTTGATAATTGGACAGTGGCATTTGCATGTCAAGAACAATAGCTAAACTTAGTAACAATTGTTCCTTGATCAGAATAATTACCTGAGAACTGTTGAACCATGGTTGAACAGAAATGGACTGAGGATTTTATAACTCCATTGCTTGAAAGCAGGTTTAAGTTGCAATGCATGTATTAGGCTTCTTGCTCATATTATATAGTACTAGAATTTTGTCTGGCAAAACTGTCTGTAACATAATTTTCCCAATGTTTCAACTGAACTAAACTGAACTTCAATGACATTCAGGATGCTCATGAGAAAAAATTGTTTCATTTTCTACCCCTAGCTGGTACAGAACGTGTTTGTAAGCTCTTCTTTCTTTTTTGTGGTCTACATGTAGTGGAAAGAGCATGCGAAGCTGAGTGATTGAGTGAGTGAATGAGGTTGAAAGCGGCAAAAATGTACAACACTGTTAACAGATGGGTGTGGATTATGCTCTCCTTCCTTATTTTCTGCTCTGAGAATGAAGTTTTACACATCACTTGGATCAGACCGCGGGCTGAGATGTAGTCCGTGAGGTATGAATCCTTACCCCACCAGGCTGAAATTGGCACAGACAGTCTGCAAACATCAATCAATTCACGCCTTCCATGCCATTGTTTTGGGCTTTTTGCACCTCTTTGACCAGAAATTCCAGACCGCGGGCTGAAGTTAGGCTGACGGTCTGAATGGTTTTTGAGTAAATCAGCCCGCGGGCTGGGATTCTACACATGTAGTCTAGTGCCTTTAGACCGAAGGTCCTGTAATTAAAACTTGCGGGCTAGTTGTTAGGCCTGACGGGCTGTTAGGAAAGACCACCGGTCTGCTTGTATTTATTATTAATGATATCTTAAGTTATGAACACTGCAGAACAATAATTTTCATATCACTGTGCTCATTACACCAAGAGCTTTATTTCTTTATTTCTTTATTTGAATTCACCACATGCAAAAAAACAAGTGGAAGGGAGGACAAAACAGGTGTATCAACGCCTTTACAAGTTGTCCTCCCAAACCTGAAATGATAATACAAAACAATACGGAACCAAGTCAAACAATAAACATTAGACATAAGACATCAAAAATCAGTGGACATGAAATATACAATTCGGTAAAAGTTATACAGAGAATTGATTATGTACAAAAATTATCAAATGTCATTATGTACAGATTAAAAAGCTAATTATGATACTAATGCGGCCTTAAAGCAGTGCATGAGGCACACCCACAAGATGTGGACCAGGAGCAGGGAACGTCGATATTGAACTGGGTGTCAAATCTCATAAACGTGGCACTCACAAGCGATCGCTTGAATGTCAAGATGTTGGACATTTCAGAGGCTTGAACCCCAATATTACGGAGGACAGGACTCAGCTGATTCCAGATGGTGACCAGCCTTGGTATGTAAGAAGAGCTGAAGGCTGATGTCCTTACTCTAATGGGGGTAAGCATGTGCGATCGGAGGTATCTAGAGGGTCTGGAAGGGAAGGATACATACTTGTGAACAATTGGTTTAGACTTAATAAACACCATGACGTCGCAAACTTCACGCCTGTGCGCAAGAGGCAACAGACCAAGGGTGGAGAGACGTTCCTTGTAGGTCAGGGTGTTCGAGTGGGCTCCTAGAATGAATTTAGTCGCCCGCCGTTGCACCCCCTCTACAAGGGACATGAGTTTGCGGGACTGAGGAGACCACAAAGGTGAGCAGTATTCTAAGATGCTTCTCACCAATGTGGTGTACAGTGCCTTGCGTACATCAGTGCTAGAGTTGAACCCGACTGTTCTTTTGATGAAACCAGTCATAGAATTGGCCCTGGCTACCATCTTTAAGATATGACTGTTCCACTGAAGGTCCGACTGGATAATGACCCCAAGGTCAGGCATACTGTCTACAGATGTAATTGTAGTATCAGACATGTGATAAGAGTACACAATAGGACTCTTAGAGCGAGTTAAACGGATAAGTTACACTTGGAAGGATGAAAAGACATCTTCCAAGTAAGACTCCAGTTGTACATAGCAGTGATGTCATTCTGCAGCTTAACACAGTCATTTAGCTTGCTGACTTCCCTAAAACATTTAGAGTCGTCAGCGAAGAGTGCTACAGTGGATTGAGTTGCTGCACAAGGTAAGTCATTGATAAACAGAAGGAAGAGAAAGGGCCCAAGAATGGAGCCCTGTGGAACACCTGATGTCACCGGGAGCCATTTGGACTGGCAACCTTCCACTACGACACGCTGACGACGATCGGTTAGGTAGGAGGTAAAACCC